ATGTTTAGCCCAGTTGTGAAGTTTCCAATTGTGTATGTTCTTCTAGCCATGATTATTACAAAAGGATGGGTCTTGAGATAGGTAGATGTCAACAATGCTTTCTTGAATGGTGATTTGAGTGAAGATGTTTATATGTAACAGCCTCCGGGGTTTGAACAGTTTGTTTCATATGGTTTCCGTCCGTGTGTAAGTTACAAAACGCTCTACGGACTCCGCCAGGCACTATGCAACTGGAATGAAAAACTTAAAACTAGTTTCTTGGAACTAGGATTTATCGAATAAAAAGTAGGTGTTTCCTTGTTCTTTAGATTCAAAGATGACTTTTGTATATACATTATAGTGTATGTTGATGATATTATAATCACCGAGACTTCTGCTGTAGATGTTAATCAGGTTGTTCAAATGTTTAGTTGTCTTTTTTTGCTTAAGGATCTTGGCGAGTTATCATATTTCCTGGTAATATAAGTTAAACGAGTTGGTGCTGGGTTGGCACTTAGTCAACGAACATACATCTGTGATTTGTTGAAAAGAACAAACATGATTTAAGCAACTTCTACGTGCACTCCGATGGTTACTACTGCAAAGCTTGCTGATCAAGATGGTGCTCTAATGACAAATGCTCGTGAGTATCACAATATTGTAAAGACTCTCTTGTATGTCTTTCATACTCTGTCATATATTGCATTCATAGTCAATAAGGTGGCTCAATTCATGTTGTCTTCTCGTGAAGTACATTTCGTGGTAGTTAAATGTATCTTGCGTTATTTGGCGGGTACATCGAATATGGGTTGGTGTTTTTAACTGGTGATGCTAGGTTACAAGTCAAAGCCTTTTCAGATGCTGAGTGGGATGGTGATGCTAGTGATCTCAAATCCATGTCTTGTATTTCCTGGGAATTGTTTGGTTGTGTGGAGTTTAAAGAAGCAAAAGATTGTCTCTCGTTTCACAATGAAAGTTGAGTACAGGAGTGTTACTGATTCGGCCGCAAAGGTTACCTAGCTTATTGCTTTGCTAAGCGATCTTGGTGTGTCTCTGAAGGATGAGCATGTTATTTGGTGTGATAACACAAGTGTTGTTGCTATGAGTGTCAATATGGTGTGTCATGCCTGCTCCAAGCATGTTGAGTTGGATGTTCACTTTGTTCGTGAGAAGATTGTTGTTGGTCAGCTTTGAGTAAGTTATGTGCCTGCTGGATTTCAAGTGGCTGATGGTCTAACTAAGCCACTGGCTAAGGCAGCGTTTGAGCAATTCCGAGAAAAATTACGAGTGATTCCTTGTTGAAGAAGGGAATAAGAAGTGGAGAGAATGTTGATATACTCCATGTAATGTATGCATGTGTGTTGAAGAGCTGCTAATGCATGTTGTTAGTATGTTAATAGAGGTTGTTAGGTTGTTGTAAACGGTTTTAGAAGTTGTTGAAGCTGTTGAACTTTCTGTTACAGCTAAGCTAGAAGTATCACACTTGTGTAGATTACAAGGCATGTTAATTCAATAAACATTTTCTCATTTGCTCTCAATTTCTTCTAGATCTAGTGTTTCTGCTAGAGTTAACATTTATATGAAAAATGTTGTAATACAAAATCAAATGGGAGTCTTAGTTGAGTGATTCACTCGTGTGCTTAGCTACTGATGTCATCACGTCATTGGATGAAAATTTCATTGGATTAAATAAATAAAAATTAAGAAAACATCCTCTAATCAGGTACTAACATGTGTCACCACCTAATTAGATATTAAATTGATTTTAATTGAATTAAATTATGAACAAATTGATAGATATATAAATATTGAGAACAAAATATGTAATTATACCAAATTTTTTAACAGTCATGTCATATTCTCTGTTAAAAGTTAATAGATAGTAGTTTAATCGAAATATTTAAATAGTTCAGTTGTCTAATTGATTAAATCAAAATGTAAGTGGTTAAAATGAAATCTAACAATAATTAAGCAATAGTGTAGTTTACCATTGAATCATAATAAAAATGCTATTAGTTGCGCTTAATATTAGATCCACGATTTTTCCAATATGAAAGTCGTGTCCAATGTTGACTTCACAATATTTTTTGCGTGTAGAAGTCGTGTACAATTAGGGATGTGCATGGGTCGGGGTTTGGTCGGATTTTTGGTCCACCCGATCCGATCCGAGAATAAGAAATCCTCCACCCAAGATTCGATCCGAATCGACCAAAACAAGATTCCATTCGACCCGAATCCTACCCGATATATAACTTAAAAATTGGACCCGACCCTAAATAATAATAAAATATTATTTTTATTCAATAAAAACAATGACTTAGTTAAAAAAATAATATATAGAGAGACATTATTGTAATTATTTCTAAATATATAAGTAACATTATATATTTTTTCGGGTCGGGTTAGGTATTTTTCACCCTAACCCTAATCCGAATCCGATCCGAACATCTCATTGAAAAAACCAACCCGACCCGAACCTAAATTTTTTTAAAAGACACGACCCGATCGGGTCGGGTCGGAACCCGTCGAGTTCGGATCCCATACCCATCCCTATGTACAATATCGACTCCACGATTTTTCTAATATAAAAATCATATATAATATCCGAGAAATATATTCAATCAATAAAAATAAGTCTTTATATTTACTGATCGATAAAATTATTTAAAGTTTCTTTTTCTGAAAATATTGGAAGTTAAAAACCTTAAGGGTGTGTTTGGTTCACGGAATGTAAAATTATCAGTGCGAATAAAAGATTACCGGAATATAATTACTGGGAATATTCCTGTAAGGAAAATTAGATTTATAACAATATTAATGTTATATTTTGTGTTTGGTTCGTTCAGCAAGAATGTAAGATTACAGTGTTTGGTTAAAAGAATAAAATATTATTAGAATGTATATTTTACCAAATTATCCTTATTATATATTTATTTTTTTAACAAGTTGAATTCTACTATAATATTACTATAATTAATTTATATATTTTCTTTAAAAAATTTAAATTCATAAATTTTATATAATTTGTTTTACAAAATTGAAAAGATAAATAAGTTTAATGAAAGGGTAAAATTTTATTTTAACCCCTGAACTTTATATAAAATTCTAATTATGAATTTTTTTTGTAAATCTAAAATAGTTTAAGGATAAATTTATAATTTAAACTTCGTAGAATTTTTATTATTCAACGACAGAATAATGATATTTTTGAAGAAAAAAATTAAGGGCATTTTAGTTCAAAACGCCGGTAATCCAATAATACCTAAGAGAAGAGAATAATTACATTCCCGGTAATATACCCTAAAAAATCCACTGTTGGGAATAAAATATTATCGGAAAATAAGATTACTCGCCAACCAAACGGAGGAATTGCATTCTATTCTCCTGGTAATTCCATATGCCGTGAACCAAACACGTCCTAAAGGTGTTTAGCTTTGTACCATAGACCGATATCAAAATGTTTTTGTCTAATGAGCTTAGATTCATTTATGTCCAATTAAGAACGTAGGATATGGTTGTCAAATGACCATTTCAACTAAATAAGTTAGGTAAATTACGCGTTTAGTATTTAAACTGTCCGTTTTAATCCGTTTAGTATTTAAACTTTTAATTTTTTAAAAAAAAATCATATCTAAAGTTTAGTTTTTATTTCATTTTAGTATCACGTTAAAAACTTTAGTTTTTTTCATTTTAGTAACTCGTTCAAAACTTAACATTAAATTTTGAAGAAAAAATGAAAGCTTAGACACTAAAATGGATAAAAATTGATAGTTTATGTACTAAATGCGTTAAATTTTTAACGACATGGTACTAAAATGAAAATAAAACTAAACATTGGGTATGATTTTGAAATATTAAAAATTTATATACTAAAACAGACTAAAACCGATAGTTTAAGTTCTAATGCCCAAATACCTTTGTACATACATCAAGATCAAAGTCTTGAGTGTTTATTTCTCATTTAATTAATGTGTTTACTTTCTAAATTAATTTTAGAAATTATGTACTAATGAAATGATAATATGTGGAATATATATTGCTTTGTTGTTGAAAATAGTATCTGAAATTAATTTTCATTCTAAGTTAAATGTCTCTCTCATCTCAAGCCCTGTTTTTAACGTTTTCTATTAAACTTGTCCAATTTCAGGAAATGACGTTGAACCGCGGCAAATTCCAAAACTCTAAGCTTGTTGGTGGAAATCCCTTCGATCAAACTCCTCTCTTTAGATAGTCCAACATAAAATATTCAAACTTTCAGTTTTAATTAATGACGTTTTTACATTATTAGAACATACCCTACCAACATCAACATAATTAATATTTCAAATAAATTATTCATGTGACTACTTACCTATAAGTAGATTTTTTTTATTATCGGAGTTTTTAATTTTATGATTCATATATTTAATTATTTGAATTATGACAACCAAATCATTTATTATTAATATTTGACGGAAAATTTGATATGATGGTTAACAAAAGTAATATAATTGTGCATTTGATCATCATTAACGATATAGTTTTTTTCCATTATTTTTAATTTTAATTTAATTTAATCAATGTTAAAATTTAATTTAATTTAATTTAATCAATGTTAAAATTTAATTTAATTTAATTTAATTTAGTCTTCATCTCATTAGAGAATGAAATTTATTAAATTAAATTAAAATTAAATTGAGTTGATAGAATGTATAAATAATGAGAATTAAATGTATAATTATACCGATTTTGTTAACTACAAAAGCCCTTCTGACGCTAACGATAAGTGACTTGATTATCCTTTTTTGAATAATTAAATAATTTGATTGATAAAATTAAAAGATAAATGATTTGACTGGAATTTTCTATACTAATCAATTTAATCCTTATCCCCATATCAGATTCTGTCTCCATATCTGTTCATCCTTCGAAATATGTATCTGTTAAATTCTTGCATGTCAAGAAAAAAACATGCTTCCATGGCAGCCTGCTGCTGGTATTTGACGAATTGGGGGGAAAATATTAATTTACTTTCACAACAATTCAAACACTAAAAAACACACTAAATCAAAACAAAACACAAACTGATGATTCTTACAACATTTGATTCCACTTTAGAGTAACATATATAAAATAACACAAAGACAGACCCTTTGGCCTTAAAATTACATCACCATTTGCATCTATTTACAGGGGCATAGGGCCATCCCTTTGGCCTCCCTACACCATTTTCAAGCACATGCTTCCCCCTTTGGTATTCGCATACGCTTTTTTTATTACATGAACATAACAGACACTAGACAACTGAACAAACCATGTACTTCGACTATAGTGGCAAATCTTCAGCTTCCTTCAGACACGCCACCTGCTGAAATGTTTTCCTTCTACACATATCATGCAACGACGCGGCGGGAGGTTAAACGACAGACGGCGGGAGATTGAACTCCGGTCGATAAAATAATCTTGGTAGTTGAAGAAGAAGAAGATGGTGATGATGAAACGTAATTATCGGCTTCGAAGACTCTTTCATCGGATATCTGAAACCGACCGGAATCGCCGGTCGGGAGTCTTATGTAAGAAGGTGAGGGTGAGTCGTTGAACCATTTGGCTAACACGTGATCTTGCCTTCCGTTCTTGTATTGGACTATGGCTCTGTAAACAAAAGGAATAAGACCTTCCATTTCCCGTTCTTTAATGAAACGAAATAATCTGAAAGAAGAAGAAGAAGAAAGTTGTGGTTGTTGGAGTGGAATTTGAAGGGGAGTTTGGTATTTAAAAGACGAGGGAAGGGTGGTGACTTGTCGTAATGGTTTTGAAGGCAAAGCTTAATTTCACGCTAAAATCAAATCCGCCAAAAACCAGCCATTGAAAGACATTGGCAAACTATAATAAAATATAATGATAAAAAGGCAGCCACCCTTCCTTTCAAGTCACCAATTTCTCGAAGAAATTAAATTAAGGGTTAATTACATTACAGGTCCAAATTATGGCCTAAACTTTATATTAGTTTTAATTTAAAATATTTTCAAACTCATTCTTTAGATATTAAATATTACTTTATTTAATGTCTTCTTATCAGTCCAGTTGTTAAGTTGGGTATTAGATGATGATATAGATTTAATTTAAAAAAAAAAAATATTTATATTTGACATATAGATAAATGAAATCTAAATCAAAGAGATTGTTGTAATTATTGTATCTTGGAAAGACGAGAAATATCAACCCAGGAAAAAAGAGTATTGAAGTTTTTAAAAGTAATGACATTATATATTTTATTATGCATATATGTTGAAAAAATGGTGATGATCTCGTGATAAATGATATCAGATTGAATATTTAACTACTTGATTTCATGCTAAATTTCTTAGTCATTGCACATCTTATTAGATACAATTTTTTTAGAAAGATAAAAATGATCTGCACTCAAGTTTGAATATTATATGTTATTTCATATATTTAAAATTTTAAATATATTAATCAAATTTTTAATATGTTCGTATTCATTGTAAAGACAATTCAAAGTCGACCAATTAAATATAATAATCCTCTTAAATTTAATAAAATATTGATTTTTAACCCTCTAGATATCCATATAATTTAGTTTGGGTTGATTATCAAATGTTGGTTTGTTTGGACATGGTTTTAGAGGAAGGAATTCGATGAAAGTTGGTGGCACATCATTCACCCACTTGCTTAAATATCAACACCAAGATTTAGGAGAGTGCCTCGTTTTAGCACATATCCCACATAGATCATAAACACCATTTGTCTTGTTTTATTTTAAGGGTCTTAATCAAACGGAGATCACGAACATGTCCACCATATAAATGTTCCAAATGTCCAAAATCTTTTTTGTCCCTTTATTTTAGGGTTTCTTCCCTTCTTTCCTTCCAGCTGTTCACTGTCTTCCCCCCCCCCCTTTGGAGATCAATGCCAGCTTTGTCTTAAGCATCCAGATTTTCATTTGGATCTTGTTTTCAAAATTAAATTATTGACAATTCAAATAACAATGTATACAGTAACAAGGGTATAATTACACTAGTAGTTCCTGAGATTTTAGAGTACTTGCATTTTAGTCGTCAAACTTTTAAAACTTGTAATACAATTATTGAACTTCCAATTTGTTATTATTGAGGTCACTGTCATTAGTTGTCTTTAAGAAAAGTTAATGTTGCATGTTAAATATATTTTATTTTTTTTATTTCATTTTCCCTAAAAGATTGCTAAGTTTCCAAATTGGCAGCAACCACAAAGGTCGAATTTTCGATGAATAGAGCAATGGTCGGTTGATCCTAGTGGTGAAAAGACTATGTTTGGCAACAAGATTAACATAGTTTAATTTAAAGTTGATTTGATAGTTAATAGTGGAGGATTAAAATTTTAGCTTTTAGTTTCGGTTGAGATTTAAGGTGATTGGAAGTTTTTGGATGAGTTTGAACCAGAGGAAAGAAATAGAAGGTGAAGACTAGTTCGATGATTTTTTTTTCAATCAGAGAAAGCATCGAATAACAATAGAAGCAATAGCGAAAGGAGGTGACATTCGATACTTTCAATTGAACTTAGTTGAATCTAAATGGAGGAACCGTAAAAGGAAAGGAAGAAAACTGTTCAATGACGATCAGGGCCGTGGCTAGGTATAAAGGGGCCCTGTGTAAATTCTTATAAGGGCCCCTATTTTCTAGATATATTCGATTCTGGGCCCCTATTTTATACTTCTTAATAGCAACAACTGATAGATATACTCGATTTGCCCCTATTTTTATGCTTATTAATGGAAACAACTTATAGATATTTCGATTTCGGGACCCCTATTTGTATATGTTGGGATTTTGAGGAAGATCGAATCGACAACCGGATCGGTTTGCAAAGAGGGGTCGAAACGGTTTTGTATTTAAAGAGTAAGGAGATTGAAAGATAGAGAATTGCACAGCGATTTATAGTGGTTCGACTTTCTCAACCAAAGTATACATCCACTACCTTAGCTCCTCACCAAAGATTTTCCAACAAATTCACTAATTTGTTCTTTCTTTTGAGGACAAAGAGATAACCTTTACAACTCCCTAGATTTTACGGGATAAACTAGAACCTTTCCCCTAGCTTTTCACAGGCTAAGCTAGAACCAAAACCCCTTTACAATGAAAGGAAAATATAAACAAGAAAACCTCTCAAAGGTAGGTGTTTACAAGATTGAGCTCACAAGAACAAATATTTACAAGAACAAAATATTTACAAGAGAAAGATGAAATAAGAATGAAAACTCTTCTCTTGTGTTTGAATGCTTGGATAGTTGTTCTCTTCCTTCTTCAAGTGTCCTTAGCTTGTATTTATAGCTTGGAATGTGTTTGATGTTGTATATAGCCGTTGGGGATGTTTTGGAGCCATTTGGGGATGATTTTTCTACTCACAAAGGCTGCCCATAACATGGTGCATCGGTGCACTATCAAGGTGCATCGATACCCCTTCATTAAATTCAAATAAACTAGCCGTTGCAGCCTTGGTACATGGATGCACAACAGGTGCATCGATGCACTAATTGCATTCGAAATGGAGTGCATGGATGCACTGAATGGTGCATGGATGCACTAGTGGCAGGTGCATGGATGCACTAGTGGCAGGTGCATGGATGCACTGCAGGAGTGCATGGATGCACTGCAGGAGTGCATGGATGCACTTTGACACTCTTTAGCATTTTTGCTCAAATATGAATTTAATGGACTTTGAATTATTTTTGAAACCTTTTTAAAACTTTGAATAAATTCAATTCAAGTCCAAAAACATTTTGCCTTAAATTTGTTATATCGAAACATAATTCAACAATCTCCCCCTTTTTGATATAACAAAACATTTAAAAAATTGTTTTTGGCAAAACTCCTCCTTAATAAAATGTTTAATGAAAAAGATACCAATTGTTAACAAAATGATATCAATTGTTACCAATTGTTTGAAAATATATGAAAATGTTAAGCTCACCATTTTTCATTAAGAAATTGAATTTTTCAAACCAAACTTCTCCCCCTTTTTGTTATATCAAAAATAATTCAATCTTTGAAGTTCAAAATAACTTTGGAGAGTAAGTACTAAATTTGACATTTAAAACTCATTTGAAAAATCAAAGCTCTCCCTCAATAAATGCATTCCAAACAAAATTTAGCTTTAAGAACTTGACACTTAAACAAAATTGAATTTCAACAAAGAATAACAAACATGTTAGTAGTACATGAAATTCAATACATCCAAGTCTAAAATACTTTATGCAATATCAATTATTGAAATTAAGTGCATATGTATAAAGTTTTATAAAAATGTTATGCATTTGAAAATTTTGATATCAATGTTAGAGAGATATCATTTTCATTTAAACCACATGCATAAACATTTAAATTTAGGTCAAAAAAAATTATAAAATCAAAGTATTTGAAAAGTTGATTTCAATTTTTAGAGAGATATCATTTGCATTTAAAACCAATTTTGACCAAAATTTATTATGATGAACTAAAAATTATGAAAAACATTAAAATTTAAAATGTTCATCAACCATCTTTTCAACATACATGAGATTAAAAAATGATGCATAATCATTTAAAACCAAAACTCATGCATGCTTAAAATCAAATGAGCAACCAAATAACCAAAATTAAAAGCATTAAGCTTAGAGGTTACCCATTTCTTTTTCATATGTGGCTAGAGCATCTTGAATATCATCATTTCATCACCATTGCTCCCACACACCTACAAGAGACATTTAAGTAGATTTTGGTATCCAAATTACTTTGGATCCTTAGACGTTAGTTTCAATGCCCCTTGTTCCTTTCGGAAACCATACTTGTCTAATTTTAAATCGTTTTCATTCTTTAAAGGACAAGTATGTTCCAAATGACCATGATAATGACAATGTGAGCATATTGTCATTATTGAACTAAATGAATTATTTAAAATGATTTCTTTTTTTTGTTAAGCATTCAATCTTAACTTTTAAATCAAAATTTTCTTTTTTAAAACTTTCAATTTTTATTTTTGAAAGCTCTAAATTCTTTTTCAAAATTTCATTTTGGCTTTCAAATTCTATTTTTGTTTTTAAAAGAAAATCGTTTTCAATTTTAAATTTTGAAATCATTTTCTTATATTTGGAGTTCATGTCTCAAACTCTGAATATAACCTATTAAAAGCATATTGTAACTCATCAAATGTATATGAATTAAATTCATTTGAGTTAGAAGATACCTCGGGCTCTACAAGAGCCATTAGAGACACCACCTTTGTTGGTTCTTCTTTCTTGTTCCATGAATTTCCTCGAGCTTATTCCAAAGCTCCTTGGCACTTGAACATGAAGAAACCCCTTCATAGATTTCAGGACCAAATGCACAAAACAACATGTGCATGGCCTTGGCATTAAGCTGAGTTTTCTTCTATTCTTTGTCACTCATCTTCTTCTCCTTCTTCTTTGGAGAAGAGTAGTCGTTCTCGATTATATCCATGCATCAAGATCATTGGATTGGATTAATACATTCATTAATTTCTTCCAATGATGATAGTTGTCTCCATTGAAGTATGGAGGCTTGTCGTTTGGTAGGGAGTCTTCCACGTGGAACGAGCCAGAGGTGTAAGCCATCTTCTCGGTTGTGTCGGGAATTGGTAGAGCTTCTTCTAGGATCATCTCAAGGTGGTTAAACCTTCTTAACGAGTTAGGCTCTGATACCAATGTTGGGATTTTGAGGAAGATCGAATCGACAACCGGAACGGTTTTGTATTTA